GGCGGGGTGGTGGTGGGGAGGAAGCGTCGACCTTGGAAGTCTTAGCCTTATGCCCTGAAAGACAAGGTTCCTTTATTCATTGGAGAGTTGCTCGCCACCCTGCTGTTCTGAAGTAGCAACATTCTGTAAACCTGGTGGGGCTGGGGAGAGGGCTGGGGACAGGAGAGCGGGGGCATTTCCTTCTGTCTCCTCCCACAGTCTGTCTATTCACAAAGCCCATCAGCAGCTGCTGTTTTTGAATTCACCATTCTCCGTGATGGAAAGCTTGGTGGGGTTGGTGGGGGAGATGCCATTGCGGACCTGCATGCTGTACCGCTCCTTCACTTGGGTCAGCGCGCTCATCAGTCTGGTGTTGGCCGAATCCAGCGACACGATCCGTTTTTCCTACAACACACCAATCATGGCTTTATTCTGGCTCCATGCAGGCAACTACACCGTAATATTCTATTGAATGACTGTTCTAATGCTTTCTATCAAACAGCAGTACACATGATGCTTCCTAGACAAATGGAACGTCTCTGCCTCTTTCTGCACCCTAGTCAGGCCAGCTTCCCCTGAGCCCAACGGGTCTGTGTTTATTTTCTCTCTTTTTTCCTTTCAGCATAGCAGGATTTGTTATTAATCATCCCTTGGGACCCTAGGACATCATGTAAAAATGACACCATGTGTTACGTCAGACTATGAAACAGAGGTGTCAAGCTGCCTTGCTGTATTAAGTACTTTGGGTCAAAAGTAAAACATGGGAATTAGGTGGCAAAGAAAGAAGCACCAGAGGTTTCATTTCACAGAGGAGAAGTGCATGTGATCTATGGGTTCTTATACCCTGAAGGGGGCACATCAGTCACATTTGAAAAGAATTCACATGGTGCTCAAAACTGAAACAATACATGGTGGCAGTTTATAGTCACCAACAAAGTGAGGATGCAACAGCAAGAGGGGGAGAAGCAGCCAAAAGCTCAGACCAAGGAGTTATTTGAATATGGGAAGGGAGATGTGGCCAAAGGGGGATGCCAGAAACATAACACATGAAAACAAACAGAGAACACAAGCTCCTAGACTCATTCCAGCTCAGAGGTACTCCAGGAAAGCTACCCAATAAGGAGACTGCTTTCATTTTACTTTTGAATCTTGGAAAAAAAAAAAAAAAGGCTTAGAACCAATATTTTGGAACCAAAGACTGTTGAATATGCAAAAAAAACCAAGAGAAAAAAGAGGGAAAAAATGGCAATCTAGAGAAAAGTAGGCTCATCTAAATTAAACAAAAATAAAAATCATCCCATCAAAATATTATCAGTCTCACAAAGACTAGGAGAGAAATCCTAATCTTAGCTTCACCAGCTAGGTAAATCATCCTAGAACCTTTCCTACATGACGTTGCCATTTTTTAGAAAACAAGTTAACGCTGAGAAGGACAGTCTTTTACCTACATCTATGATATCAAAAAAAAAAGAAAAAAAAAGCATGTGAGGAACAATCCCCAAAGCCAAAAAGAGCTTTCCTACCCAGGGAGTGTTTTAATTTACTCAGGGAAAAGCATGATAAGGATAGTCTGGTCAGGTTCAGAGAGGACATACAAGGGCTGAGGGTTAGATGCTATTCCTTGCTGTTACAGCATAGCTCCACAGGGCCGTGAGCAGCACTGCTCTCCCAGAATCGTGCTGCCCAAGGATGCAGAGTGAAGACCACTGCCCTGGGGAGAAAATTAGGTAAAAGCATATGCAACAACAGCATCAAGTAAGGCTTCCCTTTAATCTCCTGCTTTGGGGGTGGGGCGGGGATCTGTATGGCAGCAGGGCTGGTGGTCACGGTTTCAAAAGTATGAAAAAAACTAGCTCACACTTGTTATTATTAACATTTTTTTTTTCCCTTTCCTTGATGGAGAACTCAGGTGGTAAGATACAAAAAAATCAGCATTATTAACTAACCCCTAATCTAGCCTAAGATGCTTTTTACTTTGGAAAGGTAACTTGTTTTAAGGATAAGCAAAACTCAAAGAAAGAAAGAACTACAAGGCTTTAAAAAAATAATAATTAAAAAAATTACAGCCAGTGGAATTTACTGGGATAACAAGTATAGATCTTTTAAAAGTCAGTAAGGGTTGGCCAGTGGTTACCAGGAGAAAAGGGGTGGGAGCCAGATATGATGTTTCCCCCTATGGTTAGAAATGATCTCTAAGCAGATAACCTGGTAATATCTAAAAATGATTAAAAAAGAAAAGATATTTCAGTATTAGGATAAATTATAATGCCTCAATTCTAAGGAGTGCAGGATTCTCTAGGGTTGATCCAAAGAAATTAGGTATTCATGAAAAATTATTTGATTCTTAAAGGGTCAAAAAAGGCTAAGAATGATTGTCTTTATTTATTTCCTGCAAGAGTAACAGCTGAAGTCAAGCAGCCCTTCTACTAAACAGTTGAAAGTTTCCAAGTGGAGAAACTCCCTTCTGTAACTCCCCCCCACTGCCAATCTTTCAAAGTAAAACAAAAAATAAAATAAAAAAAAATCAAACAGGGACTTTTGAAAGTCAAGTTCAGTTGGCAAAAGATGGCCTTGACTTCTCCATTCTGCCTGGATTGAACGGCAAAGCAATCTAGTTCCTGCCTGACAGGAAGGATTTCAAGTGTGGGGAGTGCAGGAGCTGGAATGTGTAGGAGGCCAGTGCACCGGGCCAGGGCTGGGAACTGCTCAGCTAGAGAATGGACAGGTTACTTGCCTGTTTGCATAATCTCATCTCCATTTATGACCTGTAATTTAACACAGCGGAGATATCACTTGCAACAGTAACTAGGCAGCTGCTTGCTTCTCCTAGGAGGAAGTTCTCCATCTGAGTCATATGGAGAGATCCGGGGATGGGGTGAAAGGTGGCACAGTCCCTGGTCTGAGAAATGGTCCCTTAGTACCATCACCAGGATCTCCATGGTGGTGCTACAAGGCCCAGGACAGGGTCACCAGGGGAGTACTCATCCTCTCCCAGTTCCAATAGAAAGTGGCTGACCCCGGTGGGGCCTCTGGAGCATAAACTGACTCGAGGAGATGGAGCGGCTCAGTTCAGGGACCAGACTTGTCTGTAGGGGCACAGGGCTGCTGAGAGAGAAAATGGAAACCAGTTCTCTGGGTACCTGACCTGTCCTGTTTTGGGAAATGTTGGGCCCATTGCTAGTATAAGGAAAGCAATTCATTTCAGAAATATTTTTTAACTGCCAGTGGCACCAAGGCAGATGCCAGGGACATAAAAGTATGGGTTCCCTCGCTGGGAAGCTTTCACCCCCAAACATGTCCTCATTCTATTAAATAATGCCAGAAGGGCTGCTCTGCTCCATCAAACACTTAAGATGTAAGATTTATCCTTTCAAAGGAACAGTCATTTGTTACAAAAGACACTAAAGGATTTTCATAGTCTTTTGCTAGAATAAGATTTTAATGTATCAGTGAGACAACAGCTGGAATTGGGAAACCTTCCTTTTAAGGAGATTAAAATTTTTTAAAAAACTAGTTTTAGTGTTTATCATCTGTGCTGTGCATGGTGCAGTGGTTTTCAAAATGTGGTCTAATGGATTCTCCAAGTGTTCTTTAGGGATCCATAGTGAGCCTCCAGTAGAAAATTTATTATACAGTAATAAATTTCATTGAGAGAAGCCCTTGTTCTTGAATGGTCAGCAGGAGCATGGTGCAGTGGTTTTCAAAATGTGGTCTAATGGATTCTCCAAGTGTTCTTTAGGGATCCATAGTGAGCCTCCAGTAGAAAATTTATTATACAGTAATAAATTTCATTGAGAGAAGCCCTTGTTCTTGAATGGGCAGCAGGAACAGCTGGAAAGCCATCTATGGGAGCCACCTCTGGTTCCGCCAAAACAGTCCACAGAATCAAACCATTTGAAAACCACTGCCTGAAATATGGACCCAAACTGTTATCTAGTTTAGCCAGACCACAAGTCTGACATTGACTGATGCTTTGAGGATAAGAGTTCTCCCATTCCTGCATGGTGACGCCCTTGTGTTAACTGAGAGAAGGTCCTTACTTTCCAGAGTTTTTGAGCCCTGATGAACCTGATTCCCTCCCTTGCTTTCACCTTCTATGCCTATGACTCCTGCTTCATACCCAGTCATCTTACCCTAGATGTCAAAATGGGGGCAGGGGTGGGGAAGAAATCTTCAGAATCTAATGATGAGGTTGTCTTGACAGGCAACCGAGAAAGTGGAAATACTGTATGCACAGAGCCACGACTACGACACCCCCAAGCTCCCTCTGCTTAAGACTGACACGGTTTTAGACAAGCTGAAGTTATTAAAACAGTCTGTATGATCTCATTAGAACTAAAATCTATTCGGGTGTAGTTATTAATAGAACTCTCTCTGCTTTACACTGTCACATTGAAGATCCCAAAGTGAACACTTATCAACACTTGTTTCCCTGACTAAATTGCCTTCTTTATCCAGACTGTTTCTCTTAAGCCTCTTAGATGAATTTTTACAGTGTGCCTGCCGAGAATGCCTTGTCTCTGCTACCCTTCCCTCACCTACCTTGGGGACACCTAGAAAAGTTTGAAAAATGGACCAAGTAAGAACTTTCTTCTGATTCTTAGAAGGTCTAAATATCCAGAAACTGCAGAGTTCAAGGGTCCAAAATATTCTGGGAACCATGCTGACGAGAGAGCATCACAACTCACCCTCGACTGCCTGGTCTCGTGTATGTGAGGGAGTAGGAGGCCCATGACGCACTCTTCCCATGGCTGTGCATTCAGCCTTACTCCCAATTCCTTTGAAAAATAAACCCCATCCCATATTAGCCCTGTCAGGAAACCAGACTGGGGGTAAAATGCGTGTTTAAGAATACTGGGGGCTCTGCCATAGACTGACTACTGGCTGATAAGGAGAGAAGAAAGTTGGACATAAAGTCCTTGCTCCCATTTTTATTTCAGAGCTGAGGGAAATGATATGGTACTTAAGGGTGAGAAACGCAAACCTGGCTGGGTGGTCTTCAGGGAGGTGATACATTCAGTGGCCAGACCAGCCACATCCAAGCTGCACTGCCGTTTTTTATTTGTTTCACTCTAAGAAATACAACCAGGTTTTGCACTGATAAAATGAAAAAGGAATTAGAAACATTTCCTGCCTCCTGGGTTTTGCTCTGATCACTGACGTGAACCTGGGAGGGGGTGCTCTTGGCAGTCATCCGTCATGCCATTATTATCACAGGTAGAAGCTGCAGTGAGCAGAGGCCCAGGTTCTGATTTCATCAACCAAAAGAGGCTCTCCAAGCACAGCGCCAACAGAGAAGGGCAGCCAAGCGAATCCCAGGCATCAACGCCAAATCCGGAACCAAAAGAATAACAAGGAAGGGTACCTTTTACAACCCTGTCTTTCCCCTGCAGCTAGACTACTGTTTGGGGCCAGAGGCTGATGGCACAGTGGACGTGACTGACAAGACTGTGAACATCATAGCCAAGCAATGGTCAGTGGAGGTCACAAGCCAGACACATGCAGTGTACTTTTCACAGGTACCCCCTTAGAGAATCCCCTCCTTTCCAGAAAGAAAGAAGTAAGCCCCATCATGCACTAGGTTGAGATTTGTCGAGCAACTGCACTAAGCACGCTAAAACTTTGCTAGGTTAACAGACTTGTCACCAGTAAAGGAAAGAAAAGGTCATAGAGGTCACAAAGAAACTCTTTTACTCTTCACAAGGTAATGCTGAGAACTTTCCAGTGACCTATTGTCCATCATGTGCCTTGGCATTTGCAAAGGGTGGGAAGTCAGGAGATAAGTTATTATAAACAAGTGCCTTCCACTAGACTAAGAACCTGCTTACCTGTGCATCAATTATTTTTTGCTTTGCATCGATAACTGCTTGCATCTCAGCATGATCCTTCTTCAATTCCTCTTCCACAGCCATTAGCCTACAGTGGGGTAGTAAGGAGAGATCAACATCTTCAAGGAGAGAGCTGGCTAATGTAGAGGACAAGAAGCCCACACTCAGGACAGCTCAGTACAGCCACTGCTTCCTAGTACAAGATCTGCAACCACCTTAGAAGAAGACATCCAAAGTTGATTTCTCTACTGGGACTGGATTTTTACCTCCTCTGGAACAGCATTCCCACAATTATTATCTCCCTCTTTTCTATCAGGTCCTTTCCTCAGCACAACTCATTTCATCTTAAAATGGCAAACCAACCCACAAAAACCAAACCCTCTCCTAATCTTGTTACCTTGTAACAGCTGACCTTTCTCTTCCCCTGAACAGCTAAGTTTCCTCAGAGCGTACTCTACACATAGTAGGTCTACTTTCTTTCTCTTCCACCATTCACATCTTAGACCCCTGATGTTTAAACTCCATGAAAAGCCTCTCGGTAAGACTGCTAAATACTTATGTGCTGCTAAAACAGCAGACCTTCTCTGACTTTAAGTTACTTGACCTGCCTACAGCATTTAACAACACTGAAGCACAGTGGTCATGAGCATGGACTCTGGGGCTTGACTGTGTGGTTTCAAATCCCAGCAGCAACACTAAGTGACCTTGGGCAAGTGACTTAATGAATTTGTTGCCTGTTTCTTTATTTGTAAAATGAGAATAATAATAATGCCTACTTCAGAGATTGGCATTAATCAAATTATTATTAACAGATTAAACAAATTTTATCTGTAGGGCTTCCCTGGTGGCGCAGTGGTTGAGAGTCCGCCTTCCGCTGCAGAGGACACGGGTTCGTGCCCCGGTCCGGGAAGATCCCACATGGCGCGGAGCGGCTGGGCCCGTGAGCCATGGCCGCTGAGCCTGGGCGTCTGGAGCCTGAGCTCCGCAACGGGAGAGGCCACAACAGTGAGAGGCCCGCGTACCGCAAAAAAAAAAAAAAAAAAAAAATTTTATCTGTAAAGTGTTTAGAAAAGTACCTGGCCCATAGTAAGTGCTATGTAGTGTTTGGTAAAATTGTCCCCTCCCTTAGTCTCCCCTGGACGTCCTTGGCCTTCTCCCTTGATTCTCTGGCCCTGAAGACAGCCCAGGAAGCTCCCTTCCCCCTCTCTGGGCTTGCTGTAAAAAACTAAGTTAGCCTTTGACATTGAATACGTACATTTTTAAGATTCAGTTTTCCTCTAAGACCTCTTAAGTGAGTCACTAAGTTTTAATTTTTTCTAATTGTTACAACTAAAGGAAAATAGACTACCTCTATCTTCAAAGGAAGTGCACTAAGGTCTCACATTTAGAAAAGTGTAAGAGATATAGTCAGCCGTCACCTTTGTACCAAGTACCACAAAGGACATGCAGAGTTGCAAATGGCTTTTGCTGCCATTGCTTTAGGATTCTCTGGGTCATCGTCCCACCTCTTTGCAGCCCTAGCTACCTAGCCCACGTCCACCGCCAGGCGACCTCTGACCTGCTGATGATGCTCTTCATCTGGCTATCCTTCTCCTCCTGCTGCCTGCGCAGCCGCTCCTCGCTGTCCTCCAGCCGGGCCTTGTACTCCAGCAGCAGCTTCTGCATCTGCTGCTCCTGCACCAGCAACCGGCGCTCATACTCCTCTAGCCGCCGGCTGGACACTCGCAGGCGCTCCTTCAGTTTAGTAATTTCCTGTTCGTACTAGAGCAGAGGAGAAGAGGCACCACAGACAAGGAGAGAAATACTGGAGTTACGCTGGTTTTAGACGTTAGTGATTTATTTTTTACGATAGAAACCCTAGGCAATGGAGCTGGATGCTGCCTGAACTGCCATTCCATGGGCTGCTGACGTTCTTTAAAATTATCAACAGGCATCACTTAGGAGCTCTGCCCGCCTCCTGAAATTACATTTTTAGTCTTACCTTGGCATTCCAAATCTATATATTTATGTATCACTCTACACATTAAACTACCAGTTCCTGCAAGCCACATCCAATCTGTGACGGTATCAAATGGGAGCAGGAAAAAAAAAAGATCAAGCATTTAGAAGCCTGACAAATGACTTAAAATAAGCCAAAAGCCAGTTGTCTACATGAGAAAAGATTTCTGTGTCATCACCTGTACTGCAGGATCTCTGACATGCCTTCACTCATCAGACTGCCATTCTTTCACCCTACTAGAGCCAGCCCTTTAGAGAGCAAGCAGCACTTCTATAATGTTAAGTTACTAAATCAATAAATAGAATTTTATGGCAGAATAGGCTATTGCTGCTTTCTCCCCAGCTATAAAAGTGTAAAACATTCAGGTCACAAGCTCTAAGCAAAAGGCCTACATGTTCTCCGGGGCTGATTAATACTGCCTCTTGGCCCATTTTCATGATATCATTCATCTGCCCAGTTTGCTACTGCTTGTTGGAACACATATGTCTGTTTTCTCATTAAAGCTTTATATAAATTTATATATATAAAGCTTTATATAATTCAATTGGTTACGTGGCCCTTTCTTGTACTGAAGCTGCTGTGGGTTGGGGTTTGAGTAACTGGAATGTCAAATTTCTGGGTGAGGTGAGAAGCATTAAGCTTTCTTGTATATGGCCTATTTAAATTCATTAGTAATTCATGATAAATCCGTATGCTGCTTTGTAACATGCAATGTATTTTTACATAATATTCCATTTAACTGACAATCAGACAGTTAGCTTCTGCTTATCCAACGTCATGGTCCTACACTATGCTTATTAATCCAGAAGGTCAAAGATGACAGTTCTTATACAGTTTGAAGAGGTAGACTGCATCAATAAGAATAGTTTAGGATCCTGCTGATAAGTAAGCAGAAGCTACTTGTCTGGCTGTTAATGAGGTAATGCCATACATGATGTCAATGTTCTTGTTTGATAATCCTTATTCTTCATGTCAGCTTTTCTTAACAAAATGAAACAAAACTGAAGCAATAGATAATGTCTTTTTTTTTTTTTCAGTCGATGTCTTTTAAAAAATCAGCTATAGTGTTACAAGTTCTTTACCCAGAAAACGTGAAAAGAAAAACAAAAAAAGGGACTTCCCTGGTGGCGCAGTGTTTAAGAATCTGCCTGGCAACGCAGGGGACACGGGTTCGAGCCCTGGTCCAGGAAGATTCCCACATGCCGCGGAGCAACTAAGCCCATGCACCACAACTACTGAGCCTGCGCTCTAGAGCCCACGAGCCACAACTACTGAAGCCTGCAAGCCACAACTACTGAAGCTCATGCGCCTAGAGCCTGTGCTCTGCAACAAGAGAAGCCACTGCAATGAAAAGCCTGCACGTCGCAACAAAGAGTAGCCCCTGCTTGTGGCAACTAGAGAAAGCCCTTGCACAGCAACGAAGACCCAACGCAGCCAATAAATAAATAAATAAACAAAGAAAAACAAAAAAAGACAAAATCATTACAAAGATATAGAAAGGAAGTCTAGTCCAAGGGTAATCTTGACTTTGGTTAGTTATACAGAAACACTAAATATTCACCTAAAATGACTAGAAATGAGTAGCAGAGTTTTCTCCAAGTTAAGGCACCTCATATTAAAAAAAAAAAAAAAAAAAAATTAGAGCTAATCCTCCCATCCCAGCTTGATGGACATTTCCACATAATTTCCGACACAGACCCTACTGAATTATCATATACAGATATGTATATAAGGGTTAACATAAGAGGTGGAGCTGAAGTTGGGGACCCTGGGGAGATCATCTCCTTGGCTAGATGACCCTTTGGGTGGCCTATCACTGTGCGGGCAATAAAGACAGACTAGGCTCTACCTTCTCGGCATGCTTGGCTTCATCTTGATTTTGCTCGGTTTCTTCTACATCTTCTTCATATTGCCCATTGTTCAGAACCCAGGCTGCCGTCCTCTCTACTGGGGACATTGTGGCAGAGTCCACAGGTGACTGAACCTGCGTCAGAAATACCTATTAGCATCTCCAAAAAGAGCTCATCCACAGTTAGGTTTCACAAAGAGAGCTATTCTTAGAAGACATTATTGTGATCCCTGTTTTCTGTTAAATGTTCCCAGTTCTAAATAATATTTTGTTACTGCAAGGGCTGGTGGTGAGGGAAGAGAATATCCATTTATACAAGGATAAAATCTTCTGAAATGCTGTGAATAGAAATCACATCTAAGAACCTGCTGTTTTTTCCCTCCAAAGAGGAAAAGCCAAGGCCTTAAAATTGTTGATTAGTCCAATGGTTTCATTAGGTCATTACCTAATGAAATTACGATGATGACAGAATGAGAGAAAGAAAGCACAAGTTGATGGTTGATTGCTCAGGTGAGGAAACATCTGCTCAACCAGGGATGATCAGGAACCAAGGAATTGATTAATGCTAAACAGCTCACAAGGTACCCATTTATATATCAGAATGCCAAATTCTTAATTTTCACATCAACCATTTAGGGAAAGAGAAAAAAAAGTGATATTGGTCATTTTTACAGACACTGACTTGTTCCTGGGTTAACATCACTCAGAAGTCCATATTTTACCAGAAAGTTTCTTGATGAATACAGGATCAAAACAATGGACATCAACATAGTCTAAGGGATATTTCTATCCAGTTAGGATAGCTAGATTAATTGCCCTTTTCCAATAGATATGCAGAGTGATAAGAATTCTGGCTTTGAGTAGCAATTCTGCTACTTACATTGTCACTTAATCTCTTAAATACTTTTTTCCAAATCTATTGAATAAGGGCTACCACCACCATCACCACCTATCCTGACCATCTTCCAGGGAGTTCTAAGGACTGAACAATATAATGTATGTGAAAGTTCTTTGGAAACTATGGAGTACTATAGAGCTTAGATGTTATTACTGTATTTATGCTTAGAAAACTGGCCCTGGATATGACAATTTATATTGGGCTACTGAACATTAGTGCTTTCTCCATAAACAGTGCTAGAAATAGACAACAAATTCTTTTTCTCTGGCTTTCTTGAGAAGAAACAGAGAGACAGATAGACAGAACAAAGGATTTTCATGTGAGTTAGCCTTTTTATAATTAAAATGAATTTCTATTTTGAGGACCAATACTCTATAAATAATTGGAAGGGAATTTTCTCTCCCATGCAGAGCTATGTACCTTAAGAATCTTTATGTCATTTTGGAATAAAACCTGGTTAAACTCTAAATATATGGATATTTTAAAATAAGGGGTATCTTGATGATTTTGAGATTTAGAAAGACTAGATGAAAAAAATTGGTTGCAGAGACAAAAATGTTATTTGGGAGAGACTTGAAAAAATATTCATACAAAAGTAGTATGAGGGTATTTCCTAAAGGTTTGAAGAAGAACCTGGTTTGGCTGATTTACAAACAGATTACAGATACATATCGATAAAAAACAGCGTCACGCCTGAGGCACACACAAGCAACAGTGAATGAACTTTTAGAAATTCCTTCTTTAAAGCCATTTTCTCCACTGTGTCAAGAAAAAACATAAACATGTCTTAAACTTCAGTACCCTCAGTTCTTAAAAAGTCTACCTTCATCTCCACTATGGTAGGTAGGCTTCTTATACTTCATTCATTTGTGTATCATTCTCATTATTTTTGTCATAACCACGTTGTCACTGATATATTATTTATCATCTCTTTAAAACAACCTTTTTCAGTTAGCTAAGTCCTTATGCTAAGCAATATTATCAGTAAAATCATGAGTTTAATGTTATATATATTATACATTTATAAATACATTTTATATTGTTAGATAGTTTTCTAATATGTGTTAAAATAATTAAATGACTGATTAAATACCTTGTATATTTAAATAGTTTTGAGTATCACACTTTGGAAACACTGATCTATAGACTATAGTATCATTTATATTAAAAAAGATAATAATTATCTACTTCAAAAGTTATGAGAAACAAATGAGATGGCATGTAAAAGCAGTTTGTAAACTACAAGGTACTTCACACACACACACACACACACACACACACACACACACATACACACACACCCCTAGTTCTTCCCCTACTGGATTTTGAAAGCGGAGCACAATAAATTGCTTTAGTATTTAGAGAAAAATAGTTTAAAAAGGGGTTTAAGTTTTTATTTGATATATGTACACCTGAAAGGCAAAATACTGTGGTTCTGAGTCTTTAAAAATTAATAGAAAGTCAATACTTAAAGGAGACAAATGCCTTTTTAATTTTAGAATCTTATCCCTTTACCACATAGGGCACAGGAGAGCTGCTTTTCTGTGAAACCAGGATTTTCTATTCAGCTGCTGCTTGAGATAAAGTAGCCACTAAAATGAATAACTTTAATGTTTGGAATTTGTAACTTCCAGGAAGCTAATTCAGTAGCTTTCTGCTTTATAGTTAATAATATGTTGTTCGCAAGAACTTTCTTCCCCTGTGATTCGTCAAGAGTAACTATTTATTGAGTGCCAATAAATGCAGTACAAGCTAATAGTGTCCCTAAGAACATACTAAAGAGAGATCTTAGCCCCTAAAAGCATATTAAAAACAACTTCTTAGGTAATCTAGGCATAAAATGTAAAGTGAGAAGCTGTAAAAACAAAGAGTTGGTTCAATTTCACTGGTGTTGGTGCTAGCTACCATATCTTCAGAAGGACTAACAATGTCCAGTGAATTATGAGACAGTGTACAATGGGAACTGGGCATTCCAGTCTATTCCTATTTTATTGGTTGAATCTGTTTTTCAACCACTTCCTCATATACCCTAGCACTTTGCATGGCATACGGTAGGTGGTCAATAAGTTTTAAAAAAATAAATCAGACTAATATAACTATTCCTTGTATTTATGATAAAACCTTTACATAATTATAAAGAGCAGAAAAGTAATACTGAACAAATCAGAAATAGTTTTATCTACATTGAAGACTTATGGAGGTGATTTTTATTTCAAAATTTTTTTCAAAATTATTTTTTATTGTAATATGTTCTTCATATGAAAGAACTATATACTGTCTTTTACATCTACTTGATTGGTCTTCTGAGTGCTGATCTTATTTCCTGATTAGACTGTCAACCCTTGAAGCATGGCACCATATATCATAGAATTTTTTTCTTTTGGAATGGTAGTGACTATGGTAGTGACTGCACAATTGATGCTCAATAAAATATTATTCATTTATTATTACTTTGGATTCTCTTTAGAATTGATTACCAAAGTATAATTTATTACTAAGAGAAGGATACCCTATGTTTTTCCTCTAATCCTTTGGAAGTACATCAAAGGCTTTTCCTCAGTGATTGTTCTATCTCCTTTATAAGCTGGATAGATAACAAAATTTATTACCTCTAGTTTATAGTCAAAGAAATTGAGGAAAGAGGTTGGTAAATGGTTCAGATGCCATCTTGCTTAGCTATAGCCTTAAGAAGAGCATTTTCTTCATTGACTTCCAACAGTGGATCATTAAAGAAAATGAAGGATGAAAAAGATGAAATGAAAAGGAGCACGGATTCCTGTTAGGAATATCACCCTTTTGAGATAAAGCTTTTATAGGGTTTCTCTGGGAAAAATAACAACGCTTTGGGGCAAAAGGGCCTGAGAAAGCAGTTTCACTGATCCTACAGTTAGCCTGGCTATGCTGAGGATAACTGAGAACAGGCCGGTTCCCTGTTTATTTACTAGATATAAATAAGACTTGTTGCTTTCAGCTTCTCCGTAGTCTGAAATAGTCAGGTTCCCATAAATGAACAGCACTTTTGCTATCAACACCAAAGAAAGAGCTGACTAAATTAGTAAGTAAACTCTGAGAATCCTTGAAGAGGTTGGTTAGGAGAGGGTTCAACAAATCCAAATGTGAAAACTGTAGCATCATTCTGATAGGCTTGTCAAATACCTATTTAAAAAGCCTCTTCAAATTAGAATTTCTAAGGTTAGGTAACACGCTATAATCTGAACAACTCATATATTGTAAATAGAGTCTAACAGAGTACCTGATACACAAAAAAACAAGATGGAGAGGAAAATGATTAAAAAGAAATCCAAACAGAGGCCGAAAAGGGTCAAAAAATTCCTCCTCTGTAGAACTAGGATTTTATTTCCTTCCTACTCAGCAAATGGAGAAGACTGAAGCTAGTTACATTGCCAACAATGGCCGCTCCTTTGTGCTAAGATACAAATGGAATTTGCATGGGACAAAACCTCCAATAATTACAAATGCCGGCAGAACAATCCCCACAAAGAAATCCTCCAGTTTTTGGGAGAGAAGAATTCCCCAACACAATTTGCAATTAAAATATGTAAAGGAATTTACGTAAAAAATGTGCTGATTATTTAGAACATTAGAGGCTTCATGGGAGTGAGATGAGAAAAGCAAGCAAGAATGATAAGGAACAACAACAAAAAAATAACATACGTTTGAAAGAATAAAACATCTGCATAGAAAAAGCCAGTGCAGAAAAAACAGAAAATTGAGCAATCAAAATACAGTGATTTATGGTTTAACTGGTATGACAGTGGCAGCACCAGCAAAGGCACAAACAGGGCTGAATATGTAAAGCTGTGCTTGTGGCTATGCCCCACTTCATGCCAACATAACATAGACATTCCCAAGCTCATTAATGGCTATGGCTCAAAAGTATTTTAATTGGTTGTCTGAAGACCATATATGCATTTCCTACCTCCCATCTATCCAGACAGCTTTCTATTCACGCACAGAAACACGCAGTGCTTATATGATAGGTGTTATATTTTCCTACAGCACAGATATTATAAATGACAATTCGTTTCCGATGATCACACAAAAGGCTATTTAATTTACAATATCTATAAACAGTCAGTCTGAGTCACGGGTCCTGGGAATTGAGGACAACATGATACAGGAGGGAAGGGTAAGCATTCTTCTTTTCTCTCCAGGGCTGGGACTAAATCCGCCTTTGAAAAGTAGGCAGAGGGCCCGCCCTGTGCCCTGTCTTGCCCCTCTCTGCCAATCTGATATTCTTCTCTACTCCTTATCTCATCCTCAGGGCCTTCAAGCTGCACTAAACCCCCACGTAGACATCTGCCTCCACACAGTACTGCATCTCTGAAATTCCTTATCTTTCTTTTCTCCTCTCAATCAACAATTTAATTTTCTGAAAGGGGTTGATCTCAACTAGAAGCTAGCATAAAATCAAAGTATGGAAACTAATTCACAATAAGGTGGGAAAGACTGAGAGCCTCCTAACGTAAATTAAATGTACATATATGACATATATATAAAAGATATATATATATATATAAAAGCATTTTCATTTAAAGAAAAAATTATATAATATAATCATTATGTAAATTAATAGAGTATAATCTTTTTTCCTTTTCTTTAAATGAAAATGTGTATTAAATCAAATGAATTGGTGAAATTTGGGGAAATATAACAAAATGAAAATGAAAAATTTAAGACTGAAGAAAAGGTTTGTTTCTCAGGAAAGAACTGACCAACTAGGAGGTTTTGCCCAGGAAGGTGGCTACCAGAATCAGCCTAAGTTTTTCATCCCTTCTTCTACTTCTGTATCTAAGGATTCTGTAAATGTTCTAATTTTTTTTTAAACAATAATTATCAAAGTAGGGGCAAGGGCTCTGACCACAGCAGAGTGGTGGCAGAAGCAGCCCAATCGGTAAATGCCTACCTATAAAAATGCAAATATACTAAAGAGATACATTGGGGGTCTCACTGCAGTCTCCTCTGACCAGTGATTCTGCTGACAAAAGGATTTGTCATAGAACTCTTCTAATCACAAAGCTCCCTAATACAAATAAAGTAGGATTAGGTTTCAAAAAAAATTCAACAAAGCTTTTTTTAGGAGAAAAATCTTTTTTAGATGAAAGTAAGATATGTATATATGCATTTATAAGGTTCTTAGTTTATTTCAAGAGCAAATATGGATTGGTGCCTCAAAATGTAATCTGTAAAGAAGAGATGATAAAATTCTTAAGGAACATTTTTATTTGTGAAGAAAAAAGTTTGATAATCTTATATTAAATTTAGGTGAGACCCGAGCTGGGCTTGTCCATGTAAATAGAAATATAAGAGATTTTTATAAATGTTTAGAGAATACTTGTCAACCACCTATGTTTCTATCTTTTTACCTCTCTTCTTAACCTTGCTTCTATAGGTGCTCAGTTGTTTATTTTTCTAGCCATTTCCAGGAAAAGGCACACGGGGACTTACTACTTCCAGAGGGAGTTGGGGGATGGAGTAGAGAGCAGTTACGTTAAACTCTTGGCTGAAAGTGCAAAAATTTATTCTGGAAATTTAAGAAAAAAAATTAAGGAGGATTAATTGTCCAGATTCCCAAAATATATCCTAGTTGATTTGGCCTGTAGATTCACAGCTTAAGTGTCTAATTATTACTCAACATCACAGATTGTTCTCAGTGCTGAGATCATAGCTCTGCTGCTTGAAGAGACAGAAAGGCTCCTGGAGTGGTTGTTACAGTCTCCTAAGAGTAATGAGGCAAGCTACATTCTGCTGCCTCATCTAGCCAGAAGCCTCCCAAACTTTTCAGTTCCTCTTCCATTAAAAGGTTGCAAAAAATAGTTTTAAGTGGAAACCCTGCTAGCAATTGGATTTCTCAATGATTTATATATAAAGACCCGAGGAAACAGTTGGACCAAGTACCTGGCAGCCCCCTCCAGCACTCACCCCTACCTGCTGTGTCTGCTGTCTCTGGATCGCTCTCACTTTGGGAACAGGACTCTCTCTGGAGGAAGAGGACTGCTGCCGGGACCGGCTCCCATTTTGCACAGGTTCGGCCACCAGAGCCGCAGATGCCAGTGACATGCTCCCGGTGCTACGTAGGGAAGCACTGTGCGGCAGGGACGGTGGGGCTTTGGCTCGGGCACCTAGCCCAGCCTGGTCCATTTTTCGGATCTGGGCCTGCCCCGTGCTATTCTGCCGTGGCAGAGCAAGAGGTATGTGTCTGTCCGACACAGTGTGCCGCCTGGAGAAGTCCTCACTCTGAGTGCTACGTTTGGTGAAATCTTCCATGCTGCTGTTGCTGGGTCCACTGAGTTTGAAGTCTTCACTGTTACTTTGGCTCCTGGAACTGGCAGTGCTTAGGTTCTCCAAACTGGAATCCACAGAGGCCTTTGGCATTGCTGGAATTGGGTTATTGAGGTGATAGACAGGGTTCTGGAATGACAAGGGCTGGAGGCTGCCTGGCTGGTTCAAGGCTGGGTGCAGGGGCCTTCGCACTTGGGGTGCGCTCTGGGGAGTGCTCTGGGTTTCCCGAAGTTGTTTGATGCTGGCCACCTGGGTTACGGAAAGCTGGCTTCCAGTCAGGCGCATTGGCATGTCAAGCATGACAGATGCATGCTCCACTTGGGTGGCATGAGTGTCCTGAAGGTCCATGAGGGAGATGCTCCGGCCATTAGGAAGGCTACTTTCCTTTTCATCCTTTTCAGAGTAAGTCATGCTCTGGGAGGAGGCTTGCTGAACCAGCAATAACGTTTTCCCTCTGAAATAGCTATCTGTGTTGTCCTGGCTTGGAGATTTTAGTTTATGCAAATCACTGTGGAAAAGGAAAGGACCCTTAATTACTCCTGAGGCAAATTCAATAGAGTTAAGATTCCTCAACTCAAGCACATGAACTCTTCAGAAGGCTCAGAGGTCTGGTGTGGAGACTTACATTGGTTTCTAAACACAGATTTCATCATCACAATTCTTAGGATAAGATCCAACATTTTTAGTTTTTCTTCAAAGGTGGAGAATAACACTGTACAGACTACTCCATCCCTGTCTTAGATTTTTACTAGAATTCCAATCATTTCCTAGTTAGGTTTTAAACCTCCCAAGGTGTTCCAATTCATAGTTAATTGGTTCTGTCTAAACCTTCGAGAAGCCCTGAGTGTACAACCAAAGGGTCCCTACTAAAGACACAAGTCTTGCCAATACAGAAAACAAAGTCTAAGCATCAACACTGTATCTACCTGTTCAGCTGACACAGCCAACTCTAAAATATTTTCGACTGAGGTTCTCAGATTTTTGAGCGCTACAATACCTGAAAATATCAATTTCATAGAGCCCTTAGTCTTCCATTAAGCAGAATATAGGTTCTTTTTATAAGTTTGTTGAATATAACTCTACAATATCATTCTAGAAAATAAGTATCCTAGATCATGTGTATTATTATGACAAACAATTGGATTTATCTCAGAAGATTCTTTCCAACTGCTCATGATTTTAAAGTTGTAAATTCAACAAGTTAAATAGATTTTTCCCAAATCTCTAAATATTATCTCCCTCTGAGATAAGTAGTTCCAATTCTCTCTGAAATTCATACCTGTCAGTAGGGTCTTCAAAAATTTTCTGCAGCCCAGAGGAGAGGCTTCCACTGACATTTGGACTGGAGTTATGCTCAGTGAAGCGTCTCAGTTGCTGTTGTATTGGTGTAGGATTAGTCAGAGATTTGGTAATATCAGCAAGAACACGAGGGAGAGGTCCCAATTTTGCCACGGTTGCCTGTAGGAAGGAATTTTCACCCTAATTGGATAATAAGCATTGCGATATCCACCACAGATTGTTTTTGGGACAACGATGCCCATTGATGGAGGGGTGGAGGTTGGAGGGAAGGGTAGGTGTTTGCATATGGGAGTGGCAGGTTCATAATGCATTGTTATGGAGCAGCAAAACCATGGCGTCGAGATGAATGGAGGAGGCGAAACAAGATGCAGCAGACATTGAGGAAAGAAAGGAAATAGAAATTAGGATTATGCAAATAAAAATTAAAAGACATGCTCAAAACAACCAAACTATTGCCATTCCAACTAAGATAGACATGCAAAGCAAACTAAATCTTTGGGAGGCTGGTAGATCAAGGTGGGGGAGGGTAGGGGAAGAACCAAACACCTTCTAACCAAAAAGAACTTTAAGACCAGAGGATTGGCTAGTGTGATGAAACTTCCAAAGAAAAGGGATAATGTGAGGAAAGAAATGCATGCCAACATACAAGAAGGTGTTGCATTCAGGGGTCCAGAGCACTGCAGGGCACACAGTTGATATTGCCATCCACTAGCCATTTAATCTTGGGAACCCTGACCTACTGCCAGGTGAGTTTGCATTAGCAAGACAATTTTTTTAAAAAAATTTAAACAGCAAAGTTATGACACATCTATGAGATGTGTCTAGATAGATGTACTGCTGGTTCCCAGGACCAAACAGAAACTAAAAAGGAGAACGTGTGTTTACACAGCAAAGCCTGTTAAAAAGACCTTGACCCTGAATAAACCAGGTTGATTTCAGAAGATAACTGTATCTGCATCCCACTGATGCAGTTATTCAGTGAAGAATAACTTTTTACGATTTGCTTTATCCATCTCAATCATTTTTTTCTTTGGGGAATTCTCAATCTCATGGGGTCTTATGGGAACCTTCATCCATTAGGCAGTTTTACATGGCTGCCTCTGGGTTTTCGTTGTCTTCTCAACAGACTCTTCTACCCTGCTCAAATGAGTACAGATGCCATCTGAAGAATGTCTTTACTTGTTTGACTCTCTTGAGCCATGATTCATATCCAAGGAATTTACCCTCAGCATAGCTGCAACTTAAAATCTAGCTAGCATTTCTAAAAGAAGGGGTCCTTGAGAATAAGAAACAGCTTATTATTTTACAAATGTTTTGGGCACCAGTGGACACCCTACCATTTACATTTCCTCAGGAAAGTGGTCTTTGTTAATAGGTTTTACTCCCCTCTCCCTCATTTTATTGGTGCAATGTTTTTAAAGATAATTGGGGGTGGTGGTGGTGGTGGGATGAATTGGGAGATTGGGATTGACATATATACACTAACATGTATAAAATAGATAACTAATAAGAACCTGCTGTATTAAAAAATAAAATAAAATAAAACTCAAAAAATAAAAAATGTTCTGACTCAAAAAAAAAATAAAGATAATAGGGAAATGGAGGAAAACAAATAAACAAATTCTTATCACAGAAAAATAACTTTGTTTTTTGAAGTTATTCTAACATACCACCACAGATATTTATAAAGTAGCTGTAGCAAACAAAAACATCAATAAATAATTATTGGGATAAACCTAGCCAGAGTCTGTTAGACTGTTTTCCAAAACAAATTCTATTCCTCTTTGCAAAATTCGGGAAGGAGGAAAATGATTGGCATGGTATATATTTAGTTATTAATATGATATACAAAAAAATTCTTAGCTTATAGTCAGAAAATAAATGATTAAAAATGATAATTGTTTTCTCTATTCTTAATTCACATCTGCAGATGAAAAGAAAACATCAGGATTTTCAGATCCCGCATAACTCTATAGGTATTAATAGTTATATTAAACCCTCTGACTTGCATGATAAAAATAAATCTCATGGTAAGTTACTTAAACACGATAGTCTCAGTATTTTTCTAAGTCCACACTTCCGTTAGAAATTACTACACAAGGTTTCATCTCACTGTACTATACATGAATAAGGCTTCACACAACAATATTTGATATTAGTTTCTAGGCAAATACACAAACATATTTGTTTATAGAAATATATACTCCATTAATTCAGGAAACTACTTAAAAATATGTTAATAATTTTGTGGCTTATTAGAATTTCCTGGTTTGTAGGGCACATATTTTACTCAGAAATCATAACTATTTCCTCCCAGACTTCTAGGGCAAAAGGTTGCTTTCAACAAGCAGAAAGCACGAATGTGATTACTCTGTAGATATTCTCCAAAATCCAGGTACATTAGGGTTCTCTACCTCCCATCTCCTGTTACCCTTCCCGCCTACTTTACCTTATCAAGTTGGGAAACTACTTCCCACAGTAAGGAATGCAAAACTGAAAGCTCTCGGCCCAGATCAATGTAACCATCAAAGCCTGGGGTGTTTGAGATGGTGTCCGGATTAGAGATCTCCAAAAGAAAGCGCTTCATTCCACCCCATTCGTGCTCTAAAAAATCATTCATGAATGCCATGTATTCCTCTTTGTTACCAAATCTGAAGTAGAGGGAGAGAAAATGAGAAAGAACATATTCAGGAAAAGAGATGTGATCATTCTGAATTGACTTTACACAGAGCTATAATTTTTTTTTTTTTTAATTTTGGGGAGATGACTAATTTGTTTATTATCTATAAGTGATAAATACTAAAACATACTTTCTTAATATTACATTAATAGTCAAAAACTTTGAATAGCTTTCTATTCTCTATAGGGTAAAGACAAAATCCTTTTTTCCTGGTATTTAAAGCCATTGTAAACATTCATTATCAGTATAAACCTTCAATATCGCTAGCTTCTTCAAAGTCCCCCAAATACATTATACGCTTTTTCTTCTCCAAGCCTTTGCTCATGCTATTTATTTCTACTAGAGAACTTCCTCTCTTCTTTGCCTATCTAGGTTCTAGCTAACTTCCAGGCCTAGTTTAAGTCCATAAAACATGTTCCAAAATAAACTAGAAACAATTTTTACAAGAATTAGCTCAAATATGGGTAAACATGTATATTTCTGTGTTAGCATATTATAGAGCACACAAAGTTAAAATAGTGCACTTCTAAAAAGCCACATGCTAGAAAACAATGTATCTCATTGAAGTTCTAATCTTTTCCTTCAATACATTGCTACTAGAAACTTGTACTTAAGCTTCAATACTGAGTAAATCTGGGATCGATTTTGCCAGTGTGAATTGCTTCTCAGTGATTTCTTAAAATTGTTTTCTATAAATTATAAAAATTATACAAACTTAAGAAAAAATTGAAAACAATGAAAAGTGGAAGGAAAAAAGGGGAGGTGTACCCATTCCACCACCCAAACATATCTGCTATTTACAGTTCAGTACATTTCTTCTCCAACTGCTTTCTCCTAACTTCTTTTGAAAAAGTTGAAAGCTACAGAAAAGTTGAAAGAATATACAACGTACACCCATATGCCATTCACCTATATTAACCAACCATTCCCATTTTGCCAAGTTTGTTTTCACTCTCTCTCTTTTTTTGATTGAACCATTTTAAACTAAGTTGCAGACATAGGCTCTAAGTACATTAGCACCTGTTTCTCCAGAATAAGGAAAAACGCTGACATAAACCAATGCCATTGTCACACTAAAACTTTTAAAAGACATTACTTATAAATTATCTCATATATAGTTCATATTTAAATTTTACCAATTGTCCCCAAAATGATTTTTATAAATGTTTTTTCCAGTTCAGATCCAATTAAGATTCAAGCACTGCATTGTCTCTTTTAATCTAGAACAGTCCTCCCTCCATCTTTTCCATTTTTCATGATATTGACTTTTTGAAGGGGCCAGGCCACTTGTCTTAGATAATGTAACCATAGAATTTTGCCTGATTGCTCTTCCCAATGTTCCTATACTTAGGTTTTTGTGTTTTCATATTGTTGGGATAAAAGTATATGCACCATTTGGTATCCTATCTCTTTTTTTTGGGCTGGAGTTGTTTTTTTTTTTTTTTTTTGCGATATACGCGGGCCTCTCACTGTTGTGGCCTCTCCCGTTGCGTATCACAGGCTCCAGACGGGCAGGCTCAGTGGCCATGGCTCATGGGCCCAGCTGCTCCGCGGCATGTGGGATCTTCCTGGACTGGGGCACGAACGCGCGTCCCCCGCATCAGCAGGCTGACTCTCAACCACTGCGCCACCAGGGAAGCCCTTGGCTGGAGTTTTTAATAAAACTTTTCATTTAATATAATTATATCTTTATCATTTTGCATATTATTGGTTCTTTGTAAACACAACTTGCAGTGGCTGCAAATATTCCACTGAATGCACAGACTACTTAACCATTCCTCTATAAAGTGAATATTCAAATTGATTACAATTTTTTTGCTATTTTTAATAACACCACAATGAAAATCATGTAACATGAGTTATGAGGCACCCCACACTCATCCAAAGGTTAGGCCTCATGTACTTTTTAAATAATGTTGTTAAAAAGTGGTTATGGTACTGACACCTACTTGGCAAAGTTGGCCAGGTTCTGGATGACCTTGGCAATTAGAGTTAGAGTCCGAGATGTGCGGTCATCAGGATATTCCTGCATGAGGTTGAAGAGACTGGGAGACATGATGGCTGGGCACAGAAAACGGAGAAACAACGAGGCACTGATGAGCCGCTCGCTGATGTCTTGCTTGCTGCGGTTCAGGCACTGCTGCTTCCAGGATGCAAACACTTCTTTCAACTCACGAGGGAAAACACTGGGGAAGGAAGAAGGACCAAATATAAAAGTACTATAACCCAAGAAAGCACAGGTGATCCCACTCTGGCCCAACAGAGCCAGGCTATGGGGAGGGCCTAATAGAGAGAGCTTCTGTCTGATTCATGCCTGAGAAGTGGTGGAAAATTCATAGACGTCCAGATGGAGACCAGAAACCAAAAGCTACAAAACTCAGGAATTAGTGTAAACTTAGTTTTGCAAAGTGGGAAAATGGCATGAGGCTCCTGACTAAACCATTTGGTTTACTACAGCTCATCATAATCTCTCTAAAGACTGTTCATCAAAAAGCTTCCAAAATCTCACCAATTGCTGGGGTTAGAATAATGATCAAAAATCATTAACACATTTGTTTGACACTAGTAAATATGTTTAAAAGCCCTTAAAATACTTTTGGTATTAGAGGATGTGGTGCTAATATTCTGGGGAAATATTATATTTATGTGGATAGTTCAGAGCAACTTCTGCTTACAAGAGAGGTTTAGATTTTAGACAAAACTGTATTAGGGAAACTTTCAATTTTTCCCATAAGTCCTCCCTTTGGTTGGGAAATAACAGTTAACACTGTGATAACTCATATTGAAAAACTGAAGTTCCAATAGCAGGGAATGAAGCACAGACAGCAGCTCACCAGTAAGAGTTGATGATCTTGCAGAAAGCCAGCTCACAGCACATTTTCAGGTTGCTCTGATGGTCTATCAGTTCACTAGATGAACATTTGCTGGGATCCACTTCACAGTTTTCATCTGACTCATACAAAGCTTTGATGAACTCCCCTATTTCGAGAGAGAAGATGACGGACAGTATAACTATAAATAGTGTCTTCCTGAAGAGAATAAAAGAATGTAGGATTTCTGTACTAAAATGTGTAATGGGGAATTCGTTCTGATGCCTGACATGGAGGGCACAAAACACTGTTCACGAAGGGTTATTGCTCTGGAACCCAAGAGATACCACCTCCTATACTGCCATGTTTATTTTCCTTACTCTGGAAGTGGAAAAACAGCACTCGTTAACATCATCATCATGGTATTTACAAAAAGAATAATGAAACTACTTTAAAAAAATGCTACAACTTTAAATCTTTTATCTGAAACCAAATATATTTAAATAGCAGGAACTCATTACTTATTCTTATTATAAAGCCTCTTTACCTTATGAATAATGTTGTTACTATTTTAGAAAAATAAATAACCCAAGTCTGAATGATTAGCCTACCTATGCTTTTAACTGCTAATACTGGTGCAAACACATATTCAAGTAAGGGTCTCTAGGCTTACCTCTCCTAATGGGGATAGTCATTCAACATAGCACATAGCAGAGCATCTCTTTATATAATTTGGACGTTTTTCCAAATAAATTTAGCTTAGACACCCTGTTCATATATCTTAGCCTCTATAGAGATATGCCCAGTATTTCCTGAAAGAGCAAATCCTTACCTTACCTGTTTATCACCTGTTTATCCTCTACCATGCACTATACCATGTATTTGTTCTGTTCTATGTTTCACACTGTTTTGTGCTTATTTGTTCACATGCCTGTCTCATCTTTAGGATGAATACCATTGAAGGTCAGGGACTGGGTTCTATTCATGTTCAAATCCCAAGCCTATTAAATAGCTTCCAAAGCATTGCAGGGGCTCAATAAATATTTGTTAGAGATGGTAGTATGTTTTTAGTTTTTGTTTTTTATAGGTCTTTATGACAGAGGAGTAGAACTTTCACAGCTCCTTTTAAATCTGCTTATATTAACTGAAGTTCAGGCTAGATATTAATAGATTTCATGAAAGTGAACAGTAATTCCTATAAAAAATTAAGTGGCAGCAGCAATATCAAAGAGCATTTTCTATCAAAATGGTTAGTACTAGGATAAATGAAAGATTTAAAAAATAGCTGTGATAGAGGATGGGAACTGATTATTTGGAAGAACAATGCTTGGAGAAGAGGAATCTAAGTGATGCACAGAAAAGAAAGTGGTGCAGAGAAAAAGTAAAGGCTTTGGAGCCAGAAAGATCTAGGGTCAAATCCTGGACCCATCACTTAACCAACTGTGGGGCCATGAGAAGTCACTTAACTAGTCTGAGTTTTGGGTGCTTTATTTGGAAAATAGCATTAAATCCCTCCAACCCTCTAGAGCTATGGTGAGGATCTGAAAATAGTGCATGAAAAGAAAAGTGTCTGATATGGTGCCTGGTACTTAGTAGGGGCACCATATAATAAGTATTGTTATGTACAAACTTTGTAAATTTAAAATAACTTTTCATAGAGTGAAATAATCAAAATTGGTAAAAGGCTTTTAAAAATGTTTACCAACTCTCACATGATTTCTATTGAACATGTTCTCAGCATCACCTATGCTATGTGCTCCCACAGAATTTACCTCATTTAAAGAGCACCTGAATTTAAAAATAAGTCATCAATGTCAAATACTTCAGGTAAAAATCAATCCACCTCTAAATTTATATCATTAATATTCAGCTTATACCTAGGTGAGTTATACCTATTCCAGGAGATAATAACTAATATTAATAAATAACTTGTGAATTTTGAGAGTATTTTTCTTTTATTCTTCAATAAAAGAACCAAACAAACAACTCAAGGGTCCAGAAGTAAATTAATTGTCTAAAGTTTTTTATTTTTACCTGATTATGATATATTTAAAATCCTCCAAACTTGAGAAAATTCTTTTCACTTTTGAAACTGTAACCTGGGACTTTCCTGGTGGCGCAGTGGCTAAGAATCCACCTGCCAATGCAGGAGGCACAGGTTTGAGCCCTGGCCCGGGAGGATCCCACATGCCGCGGAGCAACTAAGCCTGTGCGCCACAATTACTGAGCCTGCGCTCTAGAGTCTCCAAGCCACAACTACTGAGCCCTCATGCCACAACTACTGAAGCCCGCGTGCCTAGAGCCCGTGCTCTGCAACAAGAGAAGCCACCGCAATGAGAAGCCCGCGTACCACAACGAAGACCCAGTGCAGCCAAAAATAAATAAATAAAATAAATTTATATATATATAAAAAAGGCTAACTAGAAATACGGGGAGTTAGATGGGGAAAAGACAGTAGAATCTCTTTCCTGAAGAAGCTTACCAATTAATTTTGTTTGTGCTCTTGGAAGCAGTAGCCATTTTCACCACCCTGGTCCTTGCTTTTGGGTTACAAATATAATAGAGATCTTTGTGGGGTTACTTGAATTTCTTCCCCTGCTCACTGAATCAATTTTCAGGTCTCATTGAGCCAATCAGCTATTTAACTTTTAACTGTTCTAGGACAGTTAATAATTAACTGTAATGATTAACAAAGGACTTGTCTCTCCTTTTCACTTCAGGAATTATTTCATTTGGGAAGCCTATTTAGCACACTGATGGTAGAATATGAATATCTGATTTTTAAGAAGTAGATGGTCAACAAATATCTACACCTTTATCTCCCCAGAACACAGAATACTGTTTGAGATGCATCATCATTGCTTTTTCTAAGGCAGTGCAAATCATTAAAGCAAACCATGATATGTAATTTATGATATGACTGTTGTGAAACTCTGATTCTGTACCTTTCCTAATGTCAATGAAACTCCATTTTCACTAGTCTTCTTTTAAATTCCTATTAGACCTTAAACTAAAGCACATGACTTAGAGAAAAGAAATAAATATGAAGATAGGAAGCAGGAGAAGAAAAAATGTACTTCTCCAAAGTAGGAATTAACTGCTACTACAGTGAGTCCAGCATAGGTAAATACAACGGTCCTGTTTCTTGAGCAGTCATTCACTTTTTAGCCTGTGAAACCTGGCTCCTGTGCTCCTGAGAGCAGTCCCAGCCATCACGAGTCATCAAAATGCAATAGCCATGTTTTCTTTTTAATCTTTACTTTCCTCAATCTCTGACTCTATTGATACTTTTATCCTCTTGGTGTCTAAGACACAGTATTTTCCTTCTTTTTTTTTGCACGTGGGCATGCATGCTTCCTCTCTCTTTGACCACTTCTCTGATTCCTCTGCTTCCTTCTACACCATAAACCAGGTGCATTGTTAGACCTGTCTTTGGCCCTATTCTCTTCCTGCTCCTGTAATCTTGTAGTTTCACTGATTCCCTCCACATGGGTAACTTAGTCCTAAATTTTCACCAGCCAGCTAGACAGATGTCTTGGGATTTCCTACCTAGAACCCCTGGGATTTCCTACTTGAACTTCAGGTTGAATACATGTGAAGTGAAAATATCATTTCTCATTCTTTCAAGCCTACTACTTTTATGTTCTCTTTCTGTTAAGAACCTCATCATCCTTCTTGTCACTCAGGAAGGCCCCAAATTCACTGTGATATTTGATCTCCTCCTCCACCACGCCCTGCCCCACTCTCACCAACTGAAAAGCTGCCAAGTCCTATTAGCTCAACTTCTTTAATATTTCTTAGATCCAACTTTTCTCTTACTCTTGGCGGTTACCTCATTCAGAGTCTTGTTATTTCTTGCCTTCCTTATTATAATGGCTTCTTAACTGGTCTCTGCATTCAGCTGCTTTCTTCACCAACCCATTTAAATCACTCTGTTAAACTGATTCTATTAAAAACACCCTGCTCAAAACTTCCAGTCGTTCACCAATGATTACTGTAAAATCTACACTCTTCAGCCAGGCAGTCAAGGCCCTCAACTAATCGGTTCTAATTATTTGTCTAATCATTTTTGTTGTTGTTGACTTGTCTTTTTCACTTTATTTTCCAGCTAATTGGCTATATTCCAAACATGCCTGGTTCTCTGGTACCTCGATACCTTTTTGTTCATGAGGTTCTTTCCCCTATGTTAATCCCTGCCATTTCCCTTGTCCAATCTCTGCTTTTATAAACCTTGCTAAACTTCGAGCTACACACACATCATAAATGTTACAAGGGAAATTTTATAATTCCATCAGGTATAATCAATTTCTTTAATTATTTGAAAAGGCACAGGATTCTCTTTCTCTTTTTGGTTATAGGGATATCCTTATCTTTCTTATCTATCTATACTGTAAGCTCTCTAAGGGCAAACATCCATTCATTCATACCTTATTGTCTATTCTTGATAGTCTCATGTGACTGCTGAGCACTTGAAATTTGGCTAGTGCAAACTGAACGTGTAATAAATATAAAATGCAGACAATTTCAAGAGTTAGAATGAAAAAAGTAAAATACTTCATTAATAATTCTTATATTGATAACATATTAAATAATATTTGGATATATTGGGTTAAATAAAATGTTATCAAAATTAAATTTACCTGGTTCTCTTTACCATTTTTACACTGTGACTACTAGAAAATTTAAATTACTCACATATGACTCACATTATGTTTCTTTAGGATGGTGCTGCTCTATGTTCTATGAGAAGTACTGGGGATATGGGGATAAAAAAAATGACACTGTTCTTCAAGGAACTCATGTCTGCTTTATCAGAATGTGTATCAAAATGCCGAGCACAGTGCCTTACTCTAGTGGTTAACACCTGAATTTCACGACCAAATATGGAGCTGCAAGTGGGTGGCCTAGTCATTAAGAACTACTGATTGGACATAGATTAGTTGTGAAAAATTCTGTAGGTCTGGAAGGCAGAAATTGGGAGTTGTGGGAATTGGCAGGAGTTTCTCCATTTTTGATGCATAATAACAAATGCTAACACTTTCAAGACTTAAGTATTTATATCATGATATAAATACCCAACACTTTGGGGGAAACAGGTCAACTGTAACGTTACTGTTAGTAATGAGAATGACATCTCGTTACTAACATTACTGTGTATCTCAGAATCTCAGGGACTTGAGGGCATAGGGGTAGCTGCCTATGCTGATGAGCTTTCTCTTTTGGTATATAGTGTAAGAAATCAATCTGCTGTTCCTCTCCTGCTGAGTATTACAGAGACTTCTTACAGCTGAAACTCCAACTTTCACACTTTAATCAGCTAGAACTAGATAACATGCAGAATTTGAGTTCCATTTGGTTGTTTCATGAGGGTCTAAAAATCAAAAGGGAAAGAAAAGAAAACAGATGTTTTTCTTCTCCATACCCAATGCATCATGAAGATACTGTTGTCCCACCAACTTGAGGTATTCCTCAATGGATTTGGTGGCAATGGTGTTCTCTCTGAAGATCAAGACATCATGCTCTCCACAACGATCCACCTCAGACATCACCAAGTCGGTCAGAAAATCCTGGTAGAATAATAATGTTCAGTCAGGCAGAAAGCAACTGAATAAATAATATACATAAGGAGAGACTGGTGAAATATCAAACATCCTGGGAACGCTGCTTTAAAACTAAAGCTACCAGATTCATTTGAAAGAAAAATAGTCAGTCAGGATAAAATTTTAGGGGTCACCAATCCTAAGTTAAAAATTCCTTCAAAGGTTTTTCATCGCACTTTTGATATAGACTGTAGTTCTGAATGTGGCCTGCAAGTCTCTATATTTTCTGCTTTCTGTCTATCTTCCCAGCCTCATCTCATACCATTCTCTCTGTATTGCTCCAGTCTCAAGGGCCTTTTTTTTTGGTAGGTCCTTGAATACATCAAGCCCTTTCTAATAACAATGTTGTCTATTCACCACAGAGCTTTCTGCAAATGCTGTTCTCAGTTCTGCTTCACTCCCACCCTTGCTCTGCCCTCACTGCTATGGAGTTAATTCCTCAGATCCTTTGGATTTTAGTTTGCACATCTTTCCTCAGTGAAGCCTTCTTTTACCAACACTGCCCCTGAACTCCATTAGTCAGGTCCCCTTAATCCACATTCTCACAGCACCATATAACTTTTTAAAAATCTGCACTTTTCACAGTAATCACACATTTCTGTAATTATTTGATTAACATCTGTTTTCCCCAGAAGACTATGAGTCCCATGAGACGAAAGACTGTCTATTTTTATTCACCTCTATATTTCCAGCATTTAACTGCTTCTGACATATATTAGGCATTCAATATATAATGGTTACAAATTGGTCTATAGTATCAACATGAAATTTCTTGAACTAAACAACTGAACTCATTTTCTAGGCTGATTATATTTGTTTGTATGTATGTATGTATCCCCATCCATCCATGCATCCATCCATGCATCCATCCATCCAACCATCCATAGCGAAGGAAGGCATAAGGAGAAATAAAGCCCTTAAGAAATAACTGCTTCATTTCTCAACAGTCTAAGGAACTTGACTTAAAGTTCATTGTTTACTGTTGTTCAATTTGAAATGTGATAACATCCTGTATTTTGAATGTTATATATTCACTGGATATTTCAAAGTCTCCAAAATCAAAAACAGAGGGAATATGTTGATTTACTTTTATTTTAAAATTAAGCATTTTAAACATGAATGGGATTTATTCCAGGGTAGATCAACACTGTAAAAGAGTCGTAGACTTAGGAGTCAGTACTAAAACTCTTGTGCTAAGGGTCAGGAAGAAACTTGGGGGTGATGGTAACATTCTGTATCTTGATTGCTGTGGTTTCCATGGATGCATAATCTGTCAAAACTCACTGAATTTTTCACTTTAAATGGGTATAGTTTATGATATGTAAATTGTACCTCAATAAAGCTGTTAAAAAATCCTACATATATCCTTGAACCTTGAGCAAATGAAGAACAGAAGAAACATATCCATACAATTTCAAAGATGAGACTCAAAATTTCAATGACACCTTTTTTAACACCAGAAAGCTCAAAATTATTATTAGTAAATTCAACCACCAAAATGATAATCAGTAGGAAGGCAGTTAAATAACGGACTAAATATTGAATATTTGATATATTCTGATTTGTATCAAGAAATTTTAAAAACGCTTTATTTTATTGTTTAGTTCTACATAAATTACTGTAGCTGTGAACTCCTCTAGATCTAAAATACAATTTTACCATGACCAATTTGCATATAATATGATGGAGACTTAGCCTAGTTAAGTGAATATGCCTCACAGAGGTGATAATTACCACAGTTCAGGCTGATCAAAGACTCTACCAATTGTTATACCTGAAACTAACACATTATAAATCAACTATACTCCAATAAAAATTTTTTAAAAAAGATTCTATCGTTTGTTTAGTGTTCTTTATACAATTAGTATATTTCTCTCTTTTATCTTCCTGAACTTTTACTTCTATCCAGCATGAATTGAGATAAGGTTATCATGAGACAGCTAACAATTAAATAACATCCCTTGGTATTTTAATTCCAAATTTAGATGTTAATCTCATGAAGACTCTTGTTAATGACCAGCATGCTTCTGGAATACCTCCTTCTGTGACTAGCTGGGTACAGTCATGGGTCAATCTTAATTTAAAATATAGTGAGGAAAAAAACCATCATACAACACATTCCAGAACTAAAGATAAATAATCTTGAACATATTGTAGGATTATCCACCAATCCTACCATTTATTTTGTCAGACAATAAAGAGCTAGCTGTGGTATCTCTATTTCATGCAAATAAACTTTAAATAAATACTTGTTAGTCTCCATTTTACTTCTTTACTTTTATAATCTCTACTAATAAGTGGATCTAAGAACCACTAATAGGTTTCCTTCCTAATTCTTTTTTTTTTTTTTTTTTTGACCAATAGCAAAGCATATATCTCTAATTTGAATCTCCACAGTAAACATGTATTTGTTTCTTCATAAAAGGTACGGAAGAGATTTTGGGTAATGCAACCCTCCTTTTCCACTTACCTTGGCTCTGCCAGTACTTTGAAGAATGTGCACTAAGGCACAGGCCAATTCTTCTTTATTTCTCACACTAATTACTGGTTCAAGAACAGAACACAACATGGTGTAGTTGCTGGTGACAAACTCTGCAAACTCTTTGTATTGCTCCATAGGCAGAATGGTGATAGTTTGGAAACGTGATTTAATCCGAATAGAAGGTCCTCCTGTCTTTCCTTTGTTGGGTGTAGGTGTACTCACTGGGTACCACTTTTCTACAAATTGGCGACCAGTCACACTGGCAGTGGGGATATTGACTAGCCCTACATAATTATTCTTGTCTTTTTTTTTCTTTTTTTCCACATCTTTATAAATGTGAACTGTGATGCTATGAAGAGGTGGAAGGCTGTAGAACTCAAAATGTTCACCCCAGAAAATATTGTCTGCTTTGGTCTTGCTGGTTGTACGAGCAAAGAGGGTATCATCAAGGCACAGTTCACAGAAATATTTCTTTTTAGGGGCAAGGTCCTTGGCTTCAATAATCCATAAACGGAGAACGTTTTCAGCTCGTCTGCAATTGTCCTATAAAGAAGTAACAAAGTTTTGTTTGAGAGTTGAAATCCCAGAAAGACAACATTTTCCTCTTAAAGTAGGTGATGCTATGTACTTCATTGAGGGCAGTCAAAAAATAATGAAGCGGATTGCTATCTCATTGTTCAAGATACTAGCAAGCTCTTAGAGAGCCACATACTTTTAATTTTACTTGGGTTAAAAAAATATCATCCTGTAAGTTCTCATATAGCCAGTCTTGTGGCAACTGAATTAGCTTTCTGCAAATAAAATAGAGATAAGTAAGTAATTAAGAAACTTGTGTTCTAGTCCCATTTCTGTCTTGTACTAGCTTCTCACTTGGTCAAGTGACTTAACTACTCTGAGTCCTCTTATCTAGGGGTCCCCAACCCCCAGGCCATGGACTGGTACCGGTCTGTGGCCTGTTAGGAACTGGGCCGCACAGCAGGAGGTGAGCCAGTGGGCGAGCGAGCGAAGCTTCCTCTGTATTTATAGCCGCTTCCCATCGCTCACAAGACAGCCTGAGCTCCGCCTCCTATCAGCATTATGGTGAGTTGTATAATTATTTCACTATATATTACAATGTAATAATAATAGAAATACAGTACACAATAAATGTAATGCACTTGAATCATCTCAAAACCCCCCTGCCCCCGGCCGTCCGTGGAAAAACTGTCTTCCATGAGACTGGTCCCTGGTGCCAAAAAGGTTGGGGACTGCTGCTCTTATCCACACTGGTAAAATCATGATACAATCTGTAAGAAGATTATTTTGAGCATAAAAGGACAAAACGTATATGTGTTTAAAAGTTCTATAAAATTTAAGGTATTATTACTCTATTTACCTTCAATCAACTTACTGCTTATAGAGTTATACATTTTTTGGACATTCAAAGCCACTATTACCTTATTTGGTTGAACTGTCCTGCGAAGGTTTTCCATCCACTTATCTCTCTCTGAAGCGGAGTTACAGCTGAAGCATTTACTGCCGCTTAAGTAGGTAACCTTCAACATAAAGATTAGAGATAAGAAAAAGGAAATGCAGGGCTTGGGGTCTCTATCTTCCTAGTTGTATCATTAAAGAGTTAGAGATATGCTATGAACCCATATTATACTACATGGTAACCAAAATGATACTTGCTGGTTTTATGATATCCATATGTACATCCACATTCACTTTTTACTTTGTTATCTAGTTAGCATCTACTACAATGCAGGTATGAAGACAAAGGCCATTGAGAATTCAGCTCAGGAACCTAAAACTGGCCTACAGTTTAGAAAGAACAAAACTAAAAACCTTTAATTAAACTTAAACCTTTAAAAATTACCTGCAAATAAATATGCTCAATTCTGAATTAATAAAAATAACTACAAAGGGAGGAAGGTCTCTAAAACAGCTTATTTCTTGGGACTGCCTTCATTATAATGTTACAGAAGGCTACTACATGAAACTGAAAAGAGTTACCAGTATTGAATTCCTTTGGAACCCATTTCTCTTCTACTAGGCAACCAGTCTGACTGCCAATTGTTTAATTAGGTTAGTCTGATGATTATTATCAATGTCCTTTAAAAATGAAGCATGTTGTCTCTATGCCTAGAACCTAACACCTGGCTGGGCATACAATCCGTTGAACTGAGTTCTACAAATATGGCAAAGTTCAAGTGACTTTTATACAAAAGAACACCAATAAATGACCTGTCCAAATTGCTAAAGTGGTTCACATATTATCTCAATCTCAGATTATAACCTAGTGAATCAGATCAGATGTTACATTCTGTCTAATATGGTAGCTATTAATCACATGTGGCTAGTGAGCACCTGAAATACTAGTCCAAACTGAGATGTGCTATAAGTGTAAAATATACATCAGGTTTTGAAGATTCAGTTTTTAAAAAAAGAATGTAGAAAGTCTAATTTTTAGTTCCATGTTAGAAGTGGTAACATTTGGGTTTAATAAAATTTAAAATTACACATGTGGCTTGCACTGTATTTCTGTTGGATAGTGCAGGTCCATAAGAAAAGGTATAAAACATCTTTCAACTTCTACAATATCTAACATAGGACTTATCACTAATAACTTTGTAAGTTTGTGCTCATTAATTAAATCATAACCTTAACAAGTATACAGATAGTTTTGAAATTAAATGTGCAAATGGCCAATTGTGTACATTTACTTTGGGAGAGGGAAATTACCTTATAAAAGGTGATGATGATAATTTTCTGGTGAAGGGCAATTTGTTCACTGAAGAAATTAGGCACCTGCAATGTGCCAGGGACTGGGCTAAGTGCTGGGGATTACAAAGATAGAAAAGACATGGTCCCAGATCTTGAACTGCCCATGTTTTAGTTAGAAAAATTATGGTTTTAGTCAATTTCCTCAAAAGGATCATTAAAATTGGGGGGTTTGGCTTTCAGGAGAAAAATAATAACATATTGTGTGATATCTTTATCAAGACTAAAAAATTAAAATACTAACAATAAGTTCTTATTAATCTTGTGACCTCTGCTGAGAATGCACTAAGAACCCATTTATTTATTTATTTATTTTAAATTGGGGTATAGTTGTTTTACAATGTTGTGTTAGTTTCTGCTGTACAGCGAAGTGAATCAGCTATATGTATACATATATCTTCTCTTTTTTGGATTTCCTTCCCATTTAGGTCACCACAGAGCACTGAGTAGAAGAACTCATTTATTTTGAAAGCAGACGAGCCCAAAAGGAATGAGAAGCCATCATTAATAACTGTAATCACCAACATAATCAGATTAGCAGATTTCCAATTTTTCCCCTGTATGTAGGTAATTTTCAGCAACTGAAAACCAGTTAAGATGATCAAATCATCAATATAGTAATGTGATCATAAGAATACTGGATAGAAAAATCTCTTTGTTGTCTAACTACTCTTTCTTTTTCCTACACTTGTCTACCTCAAAGCAGAAGTCTTGTCCAAGGATGCTGCTATGGAGTGGCTTCACTGATACGGGCTCCCCTCTACCAAGATCCAGACATTCCACTGCACTGCATGGGCTCAGCAAGGATTCATGGGAACGTGACTCTTTTAGTTTAGGCAGCCCACGAGACCTAAAAGTAGAAAGAGATATTTATGGTAGTGTAATTACTTGGCCAACAAGAAAATAAAGGTCAAATGCAATGGAGGCTTAACCAAATGTATAAATGCCTAAGAGGAAAATAAATGAGCAAATTAACAGTTAATCTGTAACAATAATAATAGGACCATATTCATGTGGCACAGATAAGCCACATACATATTTGTGTCTGTGTGTACACACTTCCTTTTTTCAACAAAACACAAAAATGTACTATAATTTTACTAGTCTCAAGGGAGCTTGAAGCTCCACCACAGACATTGTTTTTATCCTCATTCCTGTGTTGGAGATGGAGAAATACATATCATCTAAGGTTATCTTACACATTTTTTTAATGCAAAGGTGTTATCAAAAGACATATCGTTTCTTTTACTTTTTTTTTCCCCATGCTATAGCATTATCCTCTATTATCAGTGACAAAATAGCAGTGACAGAACCCTCATTCTGTTTCCTTCTGCTTTGGCAGAATAAACATACATACACAAACCCAGAATCAAAACCAAACTTTTCAGCACAAGACCCTGCTTTTCCAAAGGTCTGATTTCCATCTCTATATGGAATTCTTTTCTGGCAAGCTTTTGGTTCTATCTATGCTTTACTGTACAAATATGAATAAAGAGTAAAAATGCCTTGAAGAAACTTCCCACCCTCAAAAGAAATGTTCAAACTAGAAGAACAGACCTTTGTCAACACCGTTCAGGCATTCTGGTTGATTCTGTCCCCTAGTTGTTTAAAAAGGAATGCGGGGAAGCATGACTCTTGTCACTACAGGAGTTTGTACTTCACTGCCTTCCCCTTGGAAGAATCAATGAAGCCAAACAATATAAAACACAATATTCTTGAATCCAGAACTGGGTAGCTATGCAGTTTTACTCAATAATTATAGTATTTATTGACTGAAACCCCCAGAGTTAAATACATATATTTCAAGCAGAAGTACCTAGTAATAGGGATAAAAAGAAATGCCTCGTGGAAAGACATTTGTTTTTGTAAAACACATTAAATAAGCAGCTTCATTCACTTCCTTGAAATAACCATGTTAACTTAAAAAGGAACCAAAATACTTATTGCCAGAGTAGCTTTCAGTTAAGTTATAAAGTAATGAGATATAGGAAACTAGCACGAAAGGCTGCTCTTTCCCTTCTATTTCCATTCTAACACTGTTTAATCAAACTCCATACAGTAAAAAACATCTTAAGCAACAGGACCTTAGTCCATTCTTCTTTCCACACACAAAAATGTGTGTTCTAATGTTCAGCAATCTTTTTACGGTCAAAAATTCAATAATTATATTTACCATTGATAATACAAAGGATGCACAAAAGCCACCTAATGTTTTGTACCTAAAAATATAACAATGTAATGGCTCCACACTTACTTCCTTTTGTTCTACTGGATAAGACAATGACATGTTATATACTGTCAACAGAACATATCAACTATAAATAACTAAATGCAAAAACAAATTTTAATGTAATTACCATACAACCTTTCCCAATATGCTTCATAGGAAGCCTGGTTGAGGCAACAGGATACTGTAATCTTTTCTAAACACATATGAAATAACAGTTCCAGCCCGTTTTTCCCAGGAGGAGTTGCTTGTAGGGGAAAAGGCTATCCTGCTCTGGGAGTGAGCCTCTCAACAGAGAAGATGAAGGCATATTTAAAATAGGAGGTACAAAATAAGGCTTACTTTTATGTTTTAAATTCTTTAGGAAAATATTCTAAAACATAAATTAATTTTATCTCAAACCAAATAAATGTCTACCTACATGAAGCAACCGTACAGCCATCTTGCAGTGCACCCCCAAATCATAGCGGTGCCACATGTCATGGTACAGCAAATCACTTTCTGAACTACATCTCAGAAAACAACTCTGTGTTTAGAAGACAAGAACCAATAGAAGATGGTTTCCCCTGCTGCCTTTGGTTACTGATAACATCTCTGGATAAATGTTTTCCAGGTGTAATTTCAAGTCTTCAGTAGAAGCAGAACAGAAACACATATAACAGAACATGAAGTCATCTTCCAAATAGGCTGCAGGGCAGGTAATCTTCTCTTCCTCAGGCTGCATCCAGCCCCTCAGGTAACACAAACAAGGTTCCTGGGTTCTAGGCTGGGCCTGTTGCCATGGTGCTACACCTATAAGGAGATTAGAGCCAAAGGCAGCTGGGAGAAGCTGCAGCTTGAAGGACTCAAGGAGCATGCTCTGCAAATGTGACCATTTTAAGACAGAAAGGAAGGAATGGCGAGGCTCCACCCATTTCCATGAACAATTTTGGAGTCAAAAGCTGTAGGAAAAAAACTGAGGCAACTCTGGGGGTGGGGGAGAATCTCTTAGCTGTGCTAGAGAACGAAGCTGCGAAGCTTTAGATGTTTCCTAGATGATCCCCAGCCCGCTACTAAAAGGTATTTGCCACACCCCACCTTGCAAGTACAATCTTTCTCTCACATCTGTTTTATTTCCTTTGCAGTGCTGATCCTAGTTTAATGTTTCTAGGTACTATTTTCATTAACTTATCTGAGTTTCATTTTTTTTTCTTTCGGAGAGAGTTGGATAATTTTCTTTATTCACTGTATTTCCAGTGCTGAACAAATGCCATTTTGACATTTGTTGATATCTGTTTATGGCTGTATTTGGAAGGTTTAACTTCCAAATACAGCCATAAACAGATATTATAACCAAGCCACCTGGAATTAGAATTCAAAATTCTTCCTGGTTACAGAAATTTCAGCTCTTAATATATATAGTTCAGGGTCTCCTATTCAGCATTTATGTATGTTTGTGTGTATATACACACCGACGCCCATGAACTGAACACCAAAGTTGCTAATACGTGCAACATTGCTGATGAATAAATGAGCAAGCCCTTCCTGTATTGGGAAGAAAGTGTCTTGGAGAAGACAGAAGTAATTCCCAGAGAACAGGATTACAGTAAACAGGAAGATCAAGCAGCCTGGGAGTGGCAGTGGTGGGGAGGCATTATCTGTGCAAATATTTCTATATAATAGCATTAGTAAGCCCCAGTCCCCTCTAAGCATGTTTACCTCCTCCTGTACCTTCCTATGAGTTGATTTTTCTTAGATCTCCTAATTAGAGTTTTAGCAGCTCTGTATGGCACTACAGTTTACTTCTCTAATGGAAAGCGGAATGTGGATTTATTGAGAGAAAAATAGGAGTTTAAAACGACACTTCCCAGTCCAATCTGACAGTGGCCATCAAGGAACCTAACCTCAAAAGTGGATGTTGTGAATCCCTTGACTACTGGTTCTCTTCCCAACCCCTGCACCCCTACTCCCCAACCCCCATCATCCCAAACACCAAGGAATCATTCAGGGCTCAATGTGATAGGTAAGGGTTAAAAATCTAATTGCTTTGCTGATGAAGATTACCTGCTGCTTCTGACCTATTTAAGAGAGAAACTACAAGGCAGGAATAGCTTTCTATTACCCACTACAGTGAATTAATATTATATTGCTTTAACCCACATCACTATCTGAAATCAATCTTAAAAGACAAAAGTGAAGGGTTTGGGGGTGAGGAGCCAACACACACACCACTGGATTCATTGAAGAAAAAAAGGAGTCAAAGAACTCTGATTAGTGCAATGTTAAGTAAAACAGCTGGATTCTTCCCAGCTCAACCATCCAATTTTTTAAAAAGCATACTTCCCCCAAAGCACCAGTGGTGCCTGCATGTGCTAGCTCAATCTGCCACATGTTTACAGATTCAGTTCCAAATGTGGGAAACTTTTAATTAAAAATATAACTGAAAAAAATGCTTATTGCCACACAAAATCCTGTACTCCAGTGCAGGTGAATTTCTGCTTGGCGTGGCAGTTATGATTCTAGACTGCTTTGCTGAGTTCTTGGAAAGACAGCTCAGCCATAAACTGAGTACAGCAATATATGTTTGTATTCACCAGTATGTGTTCCTAAGGCACTTTACCTTGTTTGAAAATTTCCCAGGTAGAAATTAATAATATTCAGTATCCTAATACTCTACCAATAAACTTACAAAGGGTCTAATCAGCTTTTTAAAAGTTGCATCTGAGCTTTCACTTTGGGAAAAAGGCAGCTTTACTTGCTCCCCAGATTTTATTGTTTTTCAACCTGGTATCTGTGAAACTATCCAACTGATGTTTTGTTTGAAAGAGCAGATCCTTTCCTATACTACTGAATATAAAGCTTTCCCT